AACCACATGGCCACCAAATTGCTCTGGTTCCTCACTCATTTACCCCCCCCCCATTTGGGTAACAAAGACTAACTAGTAGAGGGCTACTGCTTCACTTTTTGGATCCCTCCTCTCACAAGCAAACCGAGTACAAAGGGATTATTGCTACGGAAGATTCATTTACAATATGCAGAACTTTGTACGACACCCTGCAGGAACTGAACCAAGGCGGTGGCTTACAAGGATTAGTAGGAAGAGCTAAAATTGTTGGGGGTGGGTAAGGGATCCAGGAAGGTCTCCTCCTTAATTTAAGCTGTGTTTAGTATTATTAGTACTATTTATTGGACTTATTGATCGCCCTATCCCGACTCGCGCCAGGCTCTGTACAGTATGGCATTCAGCCTTAGGAACAATATGCAAACATCAAATATAATAAAATGAATAGCATTAAAACCAATTTAAAACAAATTCAAGATAGCATCACTAACAACTACACAATTGAAGATCTGGATTTCTGAATGATTTTGGTCACTTCCCAAGTTCTTTTTTTGGTTTGTTTTATTTTGTAAGGGGAGATGGGGGGTGGGTGCCACATGTTGGGAAACCATCACTGTCCCTAACCCAAAAGTCTGGCGGGACATCTTTGCCTTGCAGGCCATGAGGAACTGCATGAGGTCCTGCAGCGCTCTGACTGTGTTAGCCAGGTTGGGTCAAAGGCCAGCCGGAACGCTTTGGGGCTAGGGATCGCCTACCTGCGGAGCGTAATGCTCTCCCGGGAACATAATGGAGGAGACGATCCCATAGATATTTTGGTATTCCTTGGAGGTCTCCCATTCAAACACTAGCCAGGGTCGGCCCGCTTAACTTCTGAGATCGGATGACATTAGGCTAGCCTGGGCTATCCAGGTCTGGGCGAATAACATCCACCTCTATTTATCTTCTCTGCTCTGCAGGTACTTAAGGCCTGGGCATGGCCAGCAGTGTGAACCAGGGGACGAAAGGGAAGACCTACTTGGCACTCAGAAAACTCCCCCCACTCTTTTGTGTTTGTTCCTGTTATCTTTCTTTTCTGTAGAAGAGGAGGAGATTGGATTTATACCCCGCCCTTCACTACCCAAAGAAGTCTCAGTGCAGCTTACAATCTCCTTTCCCTTCCCCTCCCCACAACAGACACCCTGTGAGGTAGGTGGGGCTGAGAGAGCTCTTTCAAGGACTGCTCTTGAGAGAACTTGTGACTGACCCAAGGTCATACCAGCAGCTGCATGTGGAGGAGTGGGGAATCAAACCCAGTTCTCCCAGATTAGAGTCCGCAGTCCTAACCAGTACACCAAACTGGCTCTCAGTACTTGAAGCTACTTGGGGTCCCCATTTGGGAGAAAAGCAGGAGGTTCCTATATCCATCCATACACACACATATCAGTGCTTGGAACAAATCTCTACCTGACTAGCACTGCATAAAAGACAAGACTGGTGTTTTACCGTATCTGCACTACACTATGAAATGAAATTATATGCAAAAAAAGGTTATTGGTTATTTAAAAATATGTTGCCCACACTACTGGCAACGTCAAACAGGAATACTATCTGAAACGTAATCTTCTCTGCTGCTCTGTTTTTAAAAAGAAATTGTTTTCCTCAACTAAAGTACCTTTTACCGGTCTGCCTGCACACCAGCCAACAACGGCTGTTCTGCACGACTGACACGCTGCAGCCTTCTGGATCAAGTGGCGCAGAGGCGGTGTTGCTATTTAACTATGACAGACAGATGACGGATAATGAGGGGAGAGAGCTCAATACCGATTTAAGCAAAAAGTGTTTGTGTGTTTGGTGCCGTTTCCATATTCAAATACAGTCTCCATTTTAAAGTGTTTGAGTCCAGTGGCGCCTTTAAGACCACCAAACTGTTCTTCTGGGTATAAGCCTTTGTGTGCATGCACACTTCAGATGCACACGGAAGTTTATACTTTCGCAGTATGTCACAATAAAACCAGGGCTTTTGGGGGGTGGGGGTGGTGCTGGAACTCCCAAAAGGTACATTTTCAATCTGTATACTGTAAAGTCATGAACTTTTAAACATTTTTTAAAAGAATTTTGTTGAAGAGGTTCCGGAACTCTGTTCTGGCGTGTTCCCCCAGAAAGCAAGCCCTGAATGAAAGTTTGTTGGTCTTAAAGGTGCCACTGGACTCCAACTTTGTTCTGCTGCTTCAGACCAACACAGCCGCCCACCAGAGTCAATTTTTAAATATATTTGCACAGAAAAAGACGGCCAATTTAACCAGCTCATAATGATCATTACTTCCTTCCGGCCGTCCTGCAGGCTTGCTGCTGCCCTTTAGTAAAGCCAAACCCACTCGACAAGATCCCGGGCTACAAACGCAGCAGGAGCAAATCTGTGGTATTCTGGGCAGTCCCTTGTGTTTCCAGTATAAATACGTTATATTCGTTGGCATCGCTTGAACCGATACTTGCTAGTAATCTGTGCTTCCAAACTCTTTCGGTAAAAACAGAAGCCTTGGAGATTGGGGGCAGGGGGCCCACAGGGGGCTCTACCACCTTCCCAGAAAACTTCCTTGTGGAAAGGGACTTTAGGTCTACTGTGCGAAAGGTACTGCTGAGAATGTGACATTCCAGTTATTTGACTCATCCAATACCGTCAAGTCAGTCAACTGGCCACCTCTTATTAATAATCAACTATGCTGTGTATCCAAGAAGGCCACTGGGCGGGAAGTGTTATAGCACCGTCTGTCAGCCACAACGGCCTTTATCAGCTGACCTGGTTTTTACCTACAGTGAAACGTTGTCTTTTCTGTTTCATTTCATTTCTTTTTGATACCTTCTGATGACTTCTTAGGAGGAGGGAAAAAAGACCTCTTCAAACATATATGAACGTGCATTTACTGAGTAAACTTATAAAACTGATTTTAACATGAATATGGTCCGCAAACAGCAGTCTAGGCTTACAAGTTCTGATACTTCTGCTGGTGATAAATACAGGTAATTAAAAAGCAGATGTAATTACAAAGCCGGTAAAGAAATCCACATTCATTCTAATTATTTTTTTAAAGAATGCATCAGAAATTTACTCACTGCAATAAACCAGACATACATATATTTTATGCTAGCTGAAACATTGTGCTTTCCCAAACCTTTCTAAATATTTCTGGCTGCCTTGGACAAACGCTACAGTTTTATCACCTGATCTGTCCCTAGTATTGTAAAAAATATAGCAGGACAAGCCGGACTGCAAGCTTAATGGAGAGCAACAGTAAACAAAAATTCCCCTTTGTTAATCTTGCCGAAGGTGGCCAGGTTTCATACAACACAAAAGAAATACACCCTGAAAGCATTCAAAATTTCTGAATATGCTTATAACTTAAAACAGAGTTAACCCGTATGTAGTCATTTGTAATAAATACATTTGTACCATTCCCTTGTGTAGCTGTTTGGCATGTTTAGAAACTTATGCTTACCCAAAAAACATTTTAAAAAGGCCTCGGCTAGAATGCCGAAGGGATTGGATGGGTCATGTTGCCGGTATGCGGCCACATATGGACTAATTGTATATTCCTAGGCAATCTATTCAGAGCTTTTGGATACATCTCGCAAACTGGAGCTCATGCGTGAAATGATCTTTTGCTCAGTCTCAAGTCTACTGTTTGTGCTTGATTTTCAAACCACACGGTCGCCTGCATGGGTTGGGATTTGCCCATGGTGAGGGGCTTATGTGCGTTAGCCAACCATTAAGCATGAACTTTAATTCTATCACAATGCTCGCTGAAAGCATGTCATGATATTCGAGTACTCTCACACACTGGTGAGAGATGCTGTTTTTAAGATGTGCGTAGGATCTGTGCATTGTGAGTTCCCACTTCGAGCACACAGAAAGGGCCAGAACAGAAGGCAGAAACCACTTGTGCTTTTCTTTCGCTCTCTCTGGCTTCTGTGTCGCTTTCCAAAGCCATCTTGAGAGAGACTAAATCGCTACCCTCTCCTTCTACAAAAAGGTAGCAAGGGGGAAGTTAGCTGTCCCCCAACTGGTTAATTCAGAAGCTCCAGAGCCTTTCCTTTCAGGGAAGGAAGGCTTCTCTTCTACCCATGCCAATATTTGCGGCTGCTGCAGATTCAGAGACAGCTACCATCTTGTTCTGTATCTTAAACTGAAGCTCCACTCTGTAAATGCCAGAAGAGGCACGTTCCATGAAGTACAACGGAAGCCTTCCAAGAAATCAGAAGGGGAAAACACCTTGATCTATCAAGTAATTTTTGTTTTGCAAAACAGATGTCCCCAGACCAAAGTTCCTCTCTAGTCACTCACTCCACAGAACTAACCTTGAGGATGTGTTGTAAATCTAAGGGGTTACTGCAGGACTATTTTAGCAGGAGTAATTTAGAATTAAAGCATTTCCTAAACACAGGCAGATGTTGAATGCCTCGCTCACTATCTTTGTCCGCCAAATCTACACTCCTGCTCAAGTCAAATATAAACCCTGAATAAAGCACATGGATTTTATTCCCTTTTGCACTGTTAATATTTGCCTGAGCGTTCTGTGCAAAAAACAGCAGAGCGGTCCCTGTATTTCTATGCTCTTGGATAGGAAGGAGATTCTTTGCAGCATTTGTGATACACCATTTTAGAGGAAGGTTTAGATCACAGAGAAACTGAAAAGTACCAATCCTTGATGGAATGCTTAGCTTTCTCTGCAATTCTTGTTCAGTATGTGACAGGCTATTTTAGCTCCTCTCTCTCAAACTACATTTAAGTGGTAGGACCTTTCCAACAAACCTGGGGAGGGAAATACACTCAGCAAAAGAATTAATGCAGGTATTTACTATTCCACATCCTGTGGCATAGTGCAGAATGATTTCTGCTCCCTCCTCTCATTTGAGACCGAAGGGCAGTGGAGATTTCATTGGTCTCAAGACTGAGCCTTTGGTTTGCTCTTTGTCTTCTTTTCCATATTCCATGCAGGGTCTCCGCTCCCTCCCTCCCACCCACCCTTTCCTCTTGTCAACATGCACCCGTATCCCACACCAACTCTTCTCCTACATCCTTTCAACCATCACGGCCTGCATCTCAAAGTCCATACATTTCTCCAACAAAAAGCCCATCATGGCAAACCACTCAGTCCTCGTTCAGGACCCCCATTTTAGAAGACGACATGCCCAAAGGGGCCCCGAGTGCCCCAATCAAGACCGGAAGACTGTGGTTTCTTCTCAGCCCGGCCATCAGATTGCTTCCTGCGCTGACGTACACGACCGAGTCCTCCCTCGGCAGGCCAGTTTTTGCCCCTTGACTTGTTTTGCTGTCCCCTCCCTCCGGGTGTTTGACAGCTCTGGCGATACCCAGCTTCTTTAGCCTCTCCACCAGGTTCATCTTCAGCTGCCCGACGTCAGGAGGACCAGAGGACTTCTGCCCGTACATTTCCTGCAGTAACGTTTCGGCCGGCCGAGAGGCTAAGAAGTTTTCGGACACGTTCGTTCGAGACTCGAATGGCAGAGGGGAAGGGCAAGGAGAGTGCAAAGGCGAATTTGGTGGTGTGGTGGGAACGGCGAGCGTCTTGAAGGATTGGAGCAGTGGCGGTTTCTCCAAGACCGGGCTGTTGTAGACCTTGGCCGAGATGCCTTTTTCTTGCAGAAGCTTAGCTAAACCGTTGGTGCTGCTGAAAGTGGTAGTTGAGTCTCCTCTGTTAGTCAGGAATTCTCCAATACTGAGCCTGTATGACATGGCTGGCGAGTTTGTGACTGTATTGCTCGTACTGCAATTACTGCCTGAGCACTGAGGGCCGTATGAAGCACTGAGGAAACAAACCAAAGATACGTGTGTTAAATATGATCATCAGAAGCCTCTTTCTATGTACAGAGCAGAAGAAGGGGAAAGTTTCCAGGGATAGGGCATAAGTTCTACACCCCACTCTAACAAGAAGACTGGTGCATGTGTATCACTGCCTTTCTGACCAGGTAAGGAAGCCCAACGAGGTTGATAAAAACACAAAATCACATGGAATAAATTTAACCTTACCCCAAAGCAATTTTGTTTGATAAAAGCAGCAAATTAATCAGTAAAAGCAGCATCTCAAAAACGAAAAGGAAACAGTAAAAGCAATCTATAGACAGCAAAAAACCCTTCAAGCAGAACAGTCAGTTATCACTGGGGGAAAAAACCAATAGAACTAATCACAGAGCATCTCCCAGGCCTTGTGGAATAGAAGCATCTTTAATCAAAAAAGCCGGAGGGAATCGTGAGCGCCTCATCTCCTATGGGAGGGAAAAAGGTAAAGGTAAAGGTTCCCTTGCTCGAAAGCCAGTCGAATCCGACTCTAGGGTTGCGGTGCTCATCTACGTTTCAAAGCCGAAGAGCCAGCACTGTCCGAAGACGTTTCCGTGGTCATGTGGTCGGCATGACTAAACACCAAGGCGCACGGAACGCTGTTACCTTCCCACCGAAGTGGTACCTATTTATCTACTTGCAATTTCTTGCTTTCGAACTGCTAGGTTGGCAGGAGCTGGAACTAGAGACGGAAGCTCACCCTGTCTTGCGGCACCCGGGTCTTGAACCGCTGAACTACCGGCCTTCCACAGCCTGCAACATCGCGACAAAAAGCCTCCTTTCGGATAAGAAGGATTACAGTGTATATACAAACACGAAAATAACAAATACACTGTAACAAAACACAAAAATATGTAACTGAGAATTCATATGGATGTAAAGGTCATGTAAATATATCATTCAATAAAGAATTAAGCAACATAACATAATCACGTACATAAGGAATACAAAGAATCAGTCCAAAGGGATCAGAACGTCAGAAGCCAGGCAGAAGTCAAAAAATCGGGCAGATTTTATAAAACATATCTTTTTAAAACATAGTGCGGCTACATAGTGATTGTATATTTTACTGTCCCGTTAATGAAATGTGCTGAAACGAGGCTTTCATATCTGGAATCCTCCTGTGACTTCTGCCTGACTTCTTACGTTCTGATCCCTTTGGACTAATTCTATGGTATTTGTATTCCCCGTATGTGTGATTATGTTATGTTGCTTAATTCTTTATTGAATTACATATTTTCATGACCTTTGCATACATATAAATCCTCAGTTATATATTTTTGTGTTTTATTACAGTGTATTTGTTATTTTCATTTCAGATAAGGCAGAGTCTTGAAGAAAGGTCCATCCACTGATTTCATGGCTCAGGCAGTCTGATACGGGTACATTAGCCCTACATGCCAATCTGCCATGTGCTCCCACCCCCTTTGGAAACCTTACAACATTAAAATGCAAGAACTGGTTCAACAATCAGTGACCTTGAAATACATAAGCGTAATTAGTGACATTCATAAACCGTCGCCTGTTTTGGCTCCTCAGAACCAAATACTCTGAAGCACTTGCCAGTCTCTCAAGAGCTAACAGCCAATTTGACTGCATGCTCAGTTCTGAGAAGACCGGTAACCTTCTTACCTAGGGGTAACTTGCGTGATATCAGATGGATGGAGGATCCTACAGGTGGTAAAAGTAAATGTAGAGTTTGTAGATGACAGGCATTTTCCTGGATTGGAAGCTACAATACATTAAAAAAAATCCGATGAAAAGGAGATTAAGAGTAGGCTAAGATGTTTACGATAATGAAGTAGTAAGTTTATAAAATCCTGAAAACTCCAAGGCAAAATACGTTCTACTGAATGCAATGGTTTATTTTTGAATCATTGCCATAAAAAGCTCCCAGTCTCCCGGTAAAACTGATCATGCCCCCTGAACACTAATTTCCGCAGCCCTCGATTGAACTATGTTGAATGCCCGTAACCAAGGAAGGTGGAGATGCGGTTCTCCTGGATCCTTCGCCATAGTTAAAGGATTGGGAGCAGGCTGCAG